CAGGAGTAATCACTGGTAGTATTTGATGCTGGGGATCCAAATAAAGTCTGCTGCATGCAAGGCAGTACCTTGATGTATTATCCCTCCATCCTCTGGATTTCCTTTCGATTTTTTAACATTTTCCCCAGTTGGGGGACACACCCAGCAATTCTCAGTAGCTATTTCCAACCTATGCTCAGGATTCTTTATCCAGTTAGTGTTCAGGCCTCCTTTATGCATTTAGCCCATTCAGTATCTCTCATTGGCTTCTGGTTTCCTTTCTAATCAAGTTGTAGTAATAATCAGAGTTTGTTTATTTATAGCAAAAATAAATCAGGTATAATATGTAAAAAGAATGTCATTTTTTTCCTGAAAACAGGAAGCACAGTCCTATGCAGATGACAACAGCTTATTATTCATGGAGACATCAGCTAAAACATCAATGAATGTAAATGAAATATTCATGGCAATAGGTAAGACAAACAGGTAAATGTAGTTATATGGGAGTATGCTTCATTTGGCTATCTTTAAAAGGTGTTTTTTTAATCATTACACTGCTTTTCTAGACTGCTGTCAAACATTGTGTGCATGCGCGCACACCAGGGTTTGACCCCCGTTTTCATGCAGAACCACAACCCCAGACCTCCGCAGTACATTTTAGGGCAATGTGTAGCAAGAGGTTTTTGTTTTGTTTGGGAAATTTTTGTTGTTCTTTTTTTGGCCAACACTGGACCATTCCCATTGACTGTTCATGGCTCTGTGCTTGTGGGTTGTTCCCAGTGGTGCTCAGGGGACCGTGCTCAGGCCAGCCACACACAAAACATGTGTTCTGTAGAGCATCCTCTTGGGCCCAGTTGAGTTTTCTCTCCTTGATCAATAACTTCTTACATCTCCACTACCCTTTATAGAGCACTTATTTATTTTGTTTTTTAAGTAGCTAGGTTTTCGTTTTTGAGGAGGATGGCGGAGTCACACGCAGCACTGATCAGGGGCTTGTTCCTGACTCTAAGTGGGCACTGGTGATGACTTAAATCAGACCAAAGTCAGTCACATCAATTCAAGTGCCCTACCCCCTAAATAAATTAGTGATTCTTGTGGCTGGAGCAATAGCACAGCAGGTAGGGCATTTGCCTTGCGTGCAGCCGACCTGCATTCTATTCCCAGCATCCCATATGGTCCCCCGAGCACCACCAGGAGTAATTCCTGAATTCATGAGCCAGGAGTAACCCCTGTGCATCGTCGGGTGTGACCCAAAAAGAAAGAAAAAACAAATTAGTGATTCTTGACAAATGTTAAGAAAAAGGTACATAAATAATGCTGATTGAAAATTTTAATAAAAATAGTGGGAAAGGTTTCAGAACTTTGAGGCACAGTGTTGAGAGAAAGCTAAACAACATCCATTCTTCAAATTAGCTAAGTCATGTTTTTTTCAGATTGTGTACAACATTCTTACCTTGCCAAGGAGGTAGCTCCAGAGTCAGAGGCATGTGCCTTGCAAATGTAAGGCCCAAGTTTGATGCCTGTCCAGCGCTGCTGGGCTTGAGCAGTACCACATCTCTGAGCTGGAGTGTTGACCGTCAGCCTTGATTTGGCTGAGTATTACAAGGAGACCCTCCCTACAAAACAGCACGATATTGTATTCTGTGTATTTTATGCCCTCGGGTCTTTGTATTAAAGCTTTTGTTCAATTTTGTGATATTTTTTGTATACAGTATGAGGTTGTGGTTTAGTTTGATTCTTTTGAAAATGGCTATTCACTTTTCCCACCTGTTTATTTTTTATTTTACTTTTGGGTTTAGGATCATCCCAGGTTATGCGTGCAGGGCTTACTCTTGGCTCTGTGCTCAGGGCTCACTGGTCAGTTAGTGGTACTAGAGATCAAACTAGAGTTTGCGATATGCAAGGCAAACACCTTAATCAGCCCCTGCACTACCACCTCTTTTGGCCCCAAAATGTTTCTGTGGTGATGTCTGTCTCACAGATTTTGAATTATAGGTAGTGAAATGGTACTTGCAATAAGGAAGTTTCCTCCATCTTTGGCGCCCCATATGTTCCTCTGAGCTTGCAAGGATCAAGCCCTGAGTGCTGCTGGCCACTAAAGACACTATTTCATCCCTGCCCCTCCCCCCACCCTGCCCCCTAAAAAAAGGTCCACCTTGGCTCTGGTTACTACCTACACTGCCAAGCACTCTTCATCTCGTAGCATTTTATTGTACAGACGTGTTTGATAACCAGGATGTTTACATTTCTGTCAGCAAATAAATGCTCTCAAGATGGTAAAGGTAAAGGCCCTCCCGTTGATCGTCGATTTGCTCGAGCGGGCCCAGTAACGTCTCCATTGGAGACTTTGTTGTTACTGTGTCTGCTGATTTAGGGGACAGCGGGAGGAGAGTGGGGGAGTACTGGTGCCCACGTGAGCACAGTGACCCCGGCCACAGCTGCGGCGGACTCCATGCTCTCAAGATGAAATCATAAAAATTAAAACAGTAACCTGGTTCAGAAGCTAAAGAAAACAGTAAAAGTGACAAGAGTCAGAGCTGAAGAGATAGTACAGATGGTAAGGCATTTCCATTGTGGACAGCTGACCAGGTGGTCCCCTGAGCATAGCCTGGAGTGATTCCTAAACCCAGAGCCAGCCAGGAGTAACCCCTGAGCGTCAATAGGTGAGGTCCAAAAACCACAAAAGGTGACAGGAGCCCTTGAATGTCTTCCACAGGGGAATTTTTAATGGTGTTCAGTTTAGGATAAAGTGTGTTCATTGTGAGAGGCTCAGACTTACAGTTTATCAGGAGATGCTAACACAGTTGTAAAACAATGTGCAACAGTATGCTCTTTTTTTATATATGGGACAGATTATACTCAGAACCACAGTAGTTAGCAGGAAACAAGATAATAGGACCCTCAAATCAGACTGGGCTAAAAGCTTTTTTATGGTTTTAAAACTACTAGATGGGCTTCGTTTGATTTATACTTTATTCATATATGCTGTCACAAAGTATTGTACTTGTAAAAGGTTTTAGTTATTTCTCCGAAAATCCCCGTGAGAGAGCACATTCATGCCTCTCATGTGTGAGGCCCTGGTCCTATTTCCCTGGATCAATAAAAGAGAAAAGCACATCTTTCTGGTACTAGTTTGAGTTAAGGCCATCTATATAAAGAATTAAAGATTTCCGTGTTCCATGTTAATTTTGTATCTGCAAGTGGGCCTTGTCATACAACTGAGTAAATTGAGGACAGTGACCATGGTTTGGTGCTTTTGGTGCTCAACAGAAGTTGGGTGAACGAAGATGAGGTTTTTTGATTTTACTTGAGATAAAGTGGAAAAATATGAGTAGATAAAAGTAATTGTAGCTTTTGGGTTTTGACTGGGTTTATTCTTATTTTTTTCCCCTTAGCTAAAAAGTTGCCAAAGAATGAACCACAGAATCCAGGAGCAAACTCTGCCAGAGGAAGAGGAGTAGACCTTACCGAACCCACACAGCCAACCAGGAGTCAGTGTTGTAGTAACTAAACCTCCAGTTTGAACCAGCTGGAATATCCGTCTGCTTCCTAAATATTAATAACAGGATTTGGAGCATCTAACCAGCCCAGTATGACTTCCAAAAAGAAGAGACTTTAGAGTCGACTTTCTAATACAGAATTATTTTAAGTGTTTTGAACTTAATTTTTAATAACATGCATGTGACTAACGTTTCAGCGGTAGAAAGGGGAAAATAAGAGCTTCGTGTATACTTGTTTCCTTGGAAGGTTTAGGGGATCATTTCTGATCACCAGGCATATAGACAAATGAATATCCTGATCCACGGTAACCAGCCAGTTCTGTGAAGAAGTCTATGAAAGTGATTCAGAACTTAAAAAATTTGGACTTAAAAAGAAAGGTGTTTCTTTTTTTTAGAAGGTGATCAAAGGTATTTATGCTTGGCTTCAGTATTCAGGCAACTGTAATTTCTCCTAGTAATAGTTATTTTAAAGTGTACATTCTATGTTTCAACAAATTAACCACAAGAGAACTCCACACCTCCATGGGGGGAGGGGGATTAATACTAGTGGCATCTAAATTAATAACCAGCCATTTAAATTTTTTGAGTGCGGTTAAAAACAAATGTAATCCCATCTTGTTTTAGTATGTATGCATCTTAATGGGTAGTGTTCCCTTCATTCGTGTTAGCTCTTCAACAAAAAATGCAACCACGTGTCTGATTTCTGTTTAATCACTGCTGCCATTACAGTAGGTGGTTTTGGTTTGGGGGAGGGAGAAGGGGCTTTTGATCCCTTTGGACATAATATAGGCAATGCACTAACAATTATGTACATTCAAACTTGATCATTTTAAATTTAATTTTCAGCTGTACTGTAAATAGGGTACTGCATCATAGTCTCCATATATGTTTATTACTTTTCTGTAATATTTAAGAGTGACTTAAAAGTATACAAAATGTACAGTTACTAAAACAGCTAATTTTTTCCTCCTCTTATCCAGTTTTGAAAGAAAGGGCCTTCACTTGTACCTACGGAGCCTAGAACCATAAGGAAAGGGTGTATCTGTAATTTGTAACATAAAGTATTGAGACATGTTAGTAACGATCTTGCAACCTTGTTTCCAAAGTTCTTTTTATTTTGTTCAGTTCAGTATATTGCACTAATTGTTTTAGATATTTTCATTATATGAAATCTACCTTGAGTCAGAGATGAGATGATTTAATCTATTTAAGTGTTGAACTGCTAGCGGAACTTGTACATTTATAATAATTCAGAATTAGTAAGGAAAACAGTTCACCAGTGTTTAGTTTTATACTGAGGTGCTCAGGTTGGAATAAAGTGGTATGAAAAAGCAAATTTTTTTTCTCTCTTTTTGGCATAGAATAATGAACATATATAAATGGTTAAGAATCTGAAATCTACTCCATTTTCTTTACTACATTCTTTATAAGGATATGCATGCATTAATGCATTAGTCTGGCTCATGGAAGAATTGCCTTTATGAAATTATTTGTTTTGCTTTGCATAATCATCCTTATCTTTCATAGATTAATTTGATACTCCAGTCCACTGAAAAGTATTACCATAATTGTAATGTTGTCTTTTGACCCTGCTGCTAAAGCTGCATTCACAAGTTCATGACTGAGATATTCAGCTGCTCTTTCGTAGAAATTTTGAGAACATGATTCTTTTTGTTTTCCATTTGAATCTTCTGGTGCAGAATGTTGGTAAGTCTCATTTTCAGAATCAGTCATTTCTGATAGAAGAGGGCCTGTATTTTCAGGGTTACTGATTATACTTTGAGGTAATTTTGAATCAGATAAAGTAACTCCTGGATTTATAGTTGATATTATCCTTTCAGAGTCAGGTGTAGACTGATTCAGTATGTTGCTATTACTTTTTGATTTGTAAGGTTCATTTTTTTGGGAAAACAAAAATTCTTTGCTTTGTACCCTTTGGGTTGAAGAGTAGGTTTTTTTATATGCTTGAAATATTGTTATCGCCAGTGCAGTAACCTCCTTTTTATCTAAAACTTCCCAAAGTCCATTAGTAGCTAAAATAAGGAATTGACATAAGTCATCTATTGGGACAGAGATAGTTTGAGGTGCTGGAATAATGACGTTTTTCAGTTTGGGATTTCCATGAAATCCAAGTCCCCGTGTTGATTTTTCTTGTCCTTCTATGAGCCCATATGGTTCATTTGAACTAATTACAGCTCCCTTCTGAAGAACTCTTCTGCGTTCGTTGATATTTCGTGTAGTATGTTCTTTGGTTAGGCAAAAGCCTTTTCCATTTCTACATAAGACTGCTTCAACATTACCTGAAAGATTGTTTTATAAATTGAGTTCAGTGAGCAACTAATTGTAAATCATATCAAGTTAACTGTTCTTTGTTTTAGTGTAAAAGTAAAACAGGACACTTACAATTTTGTGTGTCAGAGAGTTAGTACAGCAGGTAAGGCATCTAATCAAATGTGACCTGGGTTTGATCTCTGTAGCACCTCATTTGGTTCCCCGAGCCCACGAGGAGCGATCCTAGAGCAGCACAACTTAGGAATAAGCCCTGAAAAACACTAGGTGTGGCCCAAAATCAAAAAGAATGTTGCGTGTAAAATAATTGTTGAACTTGACTTAGTTCAGATTTGAAGCAAGCCAGTTCATTCCTCCTTTGGAAGTTTAGTGTTTAAATCAGCAATATTAGTCTAACTTGAATGAAAAAAAAATGTTTGAAACACCTTCAAATACTTCAGTCAAGAATAACTTTTAGGGGCCAGTACAGCAGGGAGGGCATTTGCCTTGCACACTGCCAACCCAGGTTTGCTCTCCAACATCCCATATGGTCCCCTTAGCACCACCAGGCATAATTCCTAAGTGCAGACCAGGCGTAACTCCCTGAGCATCACGAGGTGTGACCCAAAAAAGGAGGGAGGGGAAATCCCTATCTATCTTACTAATATGTAGCTAACCCCTGGTTCAAGCTCTCCAGCACCACATATTAGTCTCTACACACACACACACACACACACACACACACACACACAATCAGCTGTGACCCCTGAGCATTATTGGGAGTGGCCCAGAGCCCCAAAATAGACCCTGTGAAGAAACTCCAGAGCAACACGAACCAAAAATGCAATTTGTTAGAAAACTGGTGGGGGCTGGAGCAATAGCACAGCGGGTAGGGCGTTTGCCTTGCACATGGCTGACTTGGGTTCAATTCCCAGTATCCCGTATGGTCCCCTGAGCACCGCCAGGGATAATTCCCGAGCGCAGAGCCAGGAGTAACCCCTGTGCATCGCTGGGTGTGACCCAAAAAAAGCAAAACAAAACTGGTAAAAGGTAATACTTGAATACATAGATTTGGATGTTTGCAAATTCGAATGCCACTTAATATCAGTATTTGGGTGATACACTTCTCAGTGTTCTTGAAAATCTACATAGTGGTTTCTCCTCTCTGGACAACCCCATGTTGTAATTCCCCTCATATTTTTCAAAAACTATTTTACTTCAAAATAAGTAACTTTCTCAAAAAGCTTTACTTTGGGGGCCAGAGCAATAGTTGGCCTTATAGGTGCTTGCCTTATAGGTAGCCAACCCAGATTGAATACTCGGCACCCTATATGGTCCCCTGAGCCCCGCCAGAAGTAAAACCTACGCACAGAGCCAGGAGTAAACCCTGAGCATCACTGGGTGTGGCCCAAAAATAAAAAGAATAGCGCTTCTGAATGAACTCATTCTTAAACCTGACCTGGGTACATGAGGTTGTTGGAAAGTATAAGTTACTGGGCTGGAGTGATAGGGCAACAAGTAGGACACTTGCTTTGGATGCTGCTGGGTAAAAGAAACTATTTAACTATCAACTATTTATTCATGTAGCCCAGATGTAGAAGAGAAGATTCAGGCCCATGGAAGTGTGTAGAGAATTGATCACTGTCACTGTCCTCCCGTTGTTCATCGATTTGCTCGAGCGGGCCCAGTAACGGGCCAGTAACGTCTCCATTGGAGACTTTGTTGTTACTGTGTTTGGCATATCGAATACGTCACGGGGAGCTTGCCAGGCTCTGCCGTGCGGGCGAGATACTCTCGGTAGCTTGCCGGGCTCTCCGAGAGGGGCAGAGGAATCGAACTCGGGTCGGCCATGTTGGCTGCATGTAAGGCAAACACCCTACCGCTGTGCTATCGCTCCAGCCCCAGAGAATTGATAGATTCCTTTAAACTGAGAGTTTTGGATAGCGTTAACTATAAATGGGATTTTAAGGGGAATATGCTGAAAGAACAATGACCAAGAGCTGGGAAGATGCTCATAGGGTCAGAACACATTTTGTATGTTGGGGACCAGCGTTTGATCCCTAGCCCTGTATGGCCCATCGAATACCCAGGGTTTTGACCCCCAACTCTTGCCTCTGAAACTGCTCCCTGAAGAAAAACAGCACTCGGGATTAGAGTTCCTGGTATCTTTGTGATTGAGAAGCTGGTAGGATGCAGAGGTCCAGTGGCACCGAGGAAAGAGGAGAAGGATAAAAGATTGCCCAGGCAACCAAGAAGCAGCAGCATTCCACACTTACTCACGCCAGTGTACTTCAAAGGGAAAATGCCATATTGGATGGTTGTCTGGACCTCAGGGGAGTCTGCACTATTCCCATTAAAGAAGAAATTCACAGTCAATGGCAAGTTGGTTGCCGTAGGCACATGTACACAGCTGTTTCTAGGCAGCTTCCTTGTGAAGCCCTTTAACATGACCTTCGATCTCTGAAACATGTTTTCGGTAGTTCACTGTGGATTACCTCCCCACACCCCCCCCCCCCCCCCCAGGCCTTTGTTATGGCCTCTTTTCTGTGATGTACAAGATTAGGTCAACTGTTTATAGAGAGAATTACAGTGTGGCTCACGTAATAGATTCTTGATAACCACAATAAAAAGATTTAAAAAACCACTGTGTTCATGTGTCTGAAGAACTAAAGGAGGGCTTTGGCGGTAGTGCGCAATGTTGGTGCATGTTCTTTGCGTGAGGAGGATTGGTTAAATCCCAGCACCCTGTTTCAAAGTGCACCAATCCCCAGGGCTCCTCCATCCCACACAACTACTCACCAAGAGGAGTCCTGTGCATCATCAGGTGTGTTCCAAAAACACTCCCCCTCCCCCAAACTGCCTAAGACAAAATTGACACCACTTGGCCAAGGAGCACAAGAGAAATCAGATTGCAAATATATTAAAATAGCAATAATAAAGAACTTCCCATTTTCTTGAAAAAGGGAAATGGTTTTTGTTTTGTTATTCACATTAACACCAAGGCTTTGCCTTTATCAACAATTAGTCACAAAGCCCAGCCACTAATAGTAAATCACATTAAAACCTGCTGGTGAGTATTGTAGCTGAGTCAACTTGAGGCCAGTACATGAAATGAATAAAATTCAGAGGGTCTAAGTGGGAAGCCCAGATAGTACAGTCAGTTGGGCATATGTCTTACATGCACCCCACCTAGGTTGCATCCTCGGCATGCCATACGGTCCCCCAGCCCACCAGGCGTGATCCCTGAGGGCAGAGCCAGAAGTAACCCTGAGATTGAACAGGGTCTATTAAATGATGCTACTGATTTCAAAGCCCCAAGCTTCCCTCTACCTTGCTTCTGTATTCCCAGCACAACAGAGTTCCAGTTTCTGTTTTGTGAAGAGCATTGCTTTCTAAAACAACCCCCAGCATCCCTGCTTATGTTATGCCCCATGAGGGGAATTTAAGATTTTAATCACATTTTATCATATATGTACATCCTGGAAAAATTTACAATGATTCTTTTCAGAGATGTGGGGGGCAGGAGGGATTTGGGCCACTATCGGCTGTGCTCAGGGTTTACTCCTAGCTATATGCTCAGGGGTCATTGTTGGCTATGCTCAGGAATCACTCCTTGTGAGTTCTGGGAACTGTATGTGGTGCCAGGGAACAAACCAGGGCCAGCTGCATGCAAGACAAGCGCCTAAACCTCTGTGCTTTTCTACAGACCCCAACAATTATTTTTGTTTTGTTTTCTTGTTGCTTTGGGGGCACACCGAACTTCCTCCTGGAACTGCGCTCAGGGAACACACCTGGCGGGTTCAGGGGACCATATGGAGTGCTGGGGATCAAACCTGGGTTGGCTTTATGCAAGGCAAACAGGCATCCGGCTATACTATTGCTCTGGTCCCCCAACGGTTATTTTTGTGTCTGTAATTTGCATGGGGGGGGAGAGAATCACACCCAGTAGTCCTCCAGAGCTACTCCTGCCTCTGTGCTCTTTGTCACAGCAGTGATTGGAGGAATCAGGAGATGCTCAGGGTTCAAACTTAGGCCTCCACAGCATGTGCTCCAGACCATCTCTCCAGCCCTGTACTATGCATTCGAACTACTGTTAGTTTCTTGACTTGGTCTGAAATATTTTAGGTCAAAAAAATTCTCAAGGCACAAGTGTTCCTGCCAGGAGTGAAATATGTCAAGATAGAATTTGGCACCTTTCAACGTACATACCAGTATTTGCAACATGTAGCACTCCAGAAACTACTTGAGGCATCTTCCCAAAAGGGAAGTTCTCTGCCATCATGTCTTCACCGTCATTTCCTCTCAAAGTCAGGGTAACACTGGGATGTTTAATATTTCCTTCTAGTACACAGGCAACAGCAGAACAGCCACTCCACCGGACCTTGGAGTCTTCTTTCCTTCCAAGACGTAAAAGCCTATCCATTCTCAAAAATGCTTTAGCAAAGGCATTGTGTATTCTTGTGTACCGACACCTCTTTTCTGTCCTTTCCTTTGTAGAGAAGAGTTCTTCTATGCATGTGTATTCTTTTTTAAACACCGTGCAAAAGGAATTGATCACCGCTTGTTCTTCCAGGGTCATTTGGTAAGAAGGATCAAATTGGGCAAGTTGATGAAGAAGTAAAATGTGGAGTTCCATTGCTGTCAAGTCTGCTGCTGTGGCACCGTGGTGTCCATCAAACAAACCCAAAAAACACACATCTGGTTTACGGCCAAATTCATTCACTATGGTGAATCTGTCATTCATGCTAGCTTTCCATGTCGTATTCCTGTCATTACAAACGGCCACTCCTTTAACCAGTAGATGGCACACATTTTTTAATTGCGTAGCACTCCTCTGAATATAATCAGTAATCATACAGTTGCTTCTTAATTGTTTCTCCCAGAGTAGCTCAAAAGCATTATTAATGTTCTTGAGGGTTTTTTCATTGAGTTTCTCAACTGCTAGTAGTTTAGTAATTATATCCTGTCTATGATCAGCAACCACCACAGGTTCTAGGTTATTTCTTTCGCTCCATTCAAAACCCAATGTATACAGAGCTACATGTTGCTTCCGATGAAGAAAAAATTCAGGGAGAGTAAGTTCATTTTTGCAGATAGAACAGGGAACTGTGATCCCTTGCTCATCCATGTCATGCTGGTCTTCAGTGTTCCTGAGTAATTTTTTTTTTCAGAATGCTTACTTCCCATTAGCAGTATAGAGCTTCATCGTCTGATTCAAGTTATTGTCTTCAGTTCTTATACCATTGCCTTGAGTTCTAAAGCACTCTGAAAATTCAAAGACGAAAGTTATTTACATGCCAGGAACGGTGCAGTGAACCTCTTTTCAAGCAGTTCCTTATCTGGTTTTTGCTTTGGTGCCTCTAAATTGCACATAGAAGAGAATATTCTGATACATCAGTCTGATTCTACATAGAATTAGTCCCAAGGCATCGTTCTGTGATAAAGTACTTACTACATGTGTAGTAAGTATTTAATATATTAAAGGTTATCTTATGTGTGCCTGATTAAAATCAGGGAGAAACTCCATAATGTCTTATAGACATTTTCAAGAACAAGTACTCATGAATTGGCACATTTTTATCCTAATTACGAGAAGGTATATACTTGGAGCTTAGGATTTTGATTTCAAATCTGAATAGAGATTCATTTTCACACCTGCTATACTTTTACTCTGGTCCCATGAACATAGAGTTTTGTACTCAGGTTTGTCTTACTTAACACTTGGGTCCTAAGTAAAGGAATGGGGAATTGGAGCAGTAGTATAGTAGGTAGGTCAATTGCCTTGTACACAGCTTACCCGGGTTTGATCCCTGGCCTCCCATATGTTCCCCCAAGCACCACCAAGAGTAATTCCTGAATGCAGAGCCAGAAGTGACCCCTGAGCATTGCTGAGTGTGGCCAAACCTCCCCCCACCGCCCCCAAATTAGTGTATAAAATGGAGTAAACCCTGAGCACTGAACTGGGAGTTGGCCCTGAACACAGCCAGGTGTGGCCCCCTTCCCCTTCAAAAAAAAAAAACAAACTTCCCAGTTATAACAATAGTTATTTAAGAATGCTGGTGATTGTTACCAAGAAATGAGCTCATTTAATAATAGTGATAAAAAGAGAACAGTACTTTGTTTTAGCATAAAAGTATGCATGATTATTTTGAAATATAGAATACAAAATTGAAAGAATAGTCTTTCTTGTCCCCTACCCGACTCTTCTCAAAACCTAGTACCAGTAGTAATTAGCATGTTAATCTCTACCCAAAAAATACCTATTTATAATATTTATATGTATATATGGGCAACTGCCACTTTTAAAAATTGGGAGGGACAGGAGGAGGAAGGGAAGAAAGAGGGGGATGATGGGATTGCGGGAGGGAAAAAAGGAAAGGAAAAGGAAAAAATAGTCTGGAATCAAAAGTTTCAATATGGAGACAAAGTGATATAGCTGAACAATGTAGACTTTGAATTTTAAAAAATATCTTTTCTGGGACAAGAGCATTCAGGAACCCTGGATTTAATTTACAGAACTTAGATGATCTCCTGAACACCACTAGGTGTAGCCCGCAATTAGGTCTTTCTCTTACTAACTAGATGGCCTTCCTCAAATTACTCCGTTTATCTGAGCATCTGCTTTCTTCTCATTTTGTGAGGTCTGGGGACAATTGGGCCACACCTGGTGGAGCTCAGGGGTACTCCTGGCCCTGTGTTGGTGATATTTAGAACATAACTTAATGAAATTATGTTGTTTTTGGGGTTTGTTGGGGTTTTTTTCCTTTTTTAAAAAAAAAAAAAAAAACTTTTTGTGTCACACCCGGTGATACCCAGGGATTACTACTGGCTCTGCATTCAGTAAGTACTCTTTGTCTTGCTCGGGCGACCATATGGGATGCCAGGGATTGAACCCAGGTCAGCCACATGCAAGGCAAACGCCCAAACCGCTGTACTACCACTCTGGTAGTACAAAATTAAGAAAAATAATAGGAAAGAAGTTTTGTTTTATTTTTAAATAGCAGAACCTGAATGTAAATATTTAGAGTTGTGTATCTTAAATGTCCTGTATTCATAATATGTGGAGATAAATTGTGTATATTATCACTTTGTTCCAGTTACATTATACTGCACAAACAATACAATTGGAGAAATGTAGATTTAAAATGCATATATAGGGGGCTGGAGCAATAGCACAGCGGGTAGGGCGTTTGCCTTGCTCACGGCCAACCCAGGTTCGAATCCCAGCATCCCATATGGTCCCCTGAGCACTGCCAGGAGTAATTCCTGAGTGCAGAACCAGAAGTAACCCCTGTGCATCACCGGGTGTGACCCACAAAAGCAAAAATAAATAAAATACATATATAAATAAAATAATATACTGACTATAGAAAATAGACAAATCTGGACCAAATTTTCTATAGTCTGTTGTAGTGAAATTTTCACTTCATAATTGCTTCTAGAACTATGAGGATACAAGAAAGATTTCCTGGCATTGCTTCACCAACAGGTGTTTTTGCTTCTCTTTTACGTAAAAAAAAATTTAAATCACAAAGAGTAGTATAGGGAGCCTATCAATATTTCTTTATTCTCGTATTATCTGTGACTCAACCTCCTCAATATTTTTAGGACTGGAGAGAGATTTCAGTACAGCAGATAGGGTGCTTCCTTGCACCTGGTTGACCCAGATTTAATCCCTGGAATCCCATATAGTACCCCAGCCCTGCCAGGAGTGATCCCTGAGTGAAGAACCAGGAGCAAGCTCTAAGCACTACTTGTGTTTTATAATATGCAGATATTTTTTATTGTGTATTTTTAGGACAGCTGCTATGGCCAGTGCATGGTACAGCTCATATTCTGCTCTTGAAGCTATGAGGGAAAGAGTTGAAAATATCATTAATACTCATCCAAGAGATTAGTATGTCAGATGGAGAGATGCCTCCAGACCTAGCTCCAGGCTGAGTCTCATTCAGGTCACCCCGCCCGGGGGGGGCGGGGGGGGGCAGGGGCGGGGTTGGATGAGCCCACCACCCACCCAAACAGAGCCCCAGCAGCCAAAATCCTCCAGATCCCAAACAATGCCAAGCTCACGGCCAGACTCCACAGACTGAGGACAATCCTCATCCAGGAATGAATATATTGAAAAACTCAGGTATGCTGGTTTTGTGACAGTCACTCCCATGAACTGCCTCTGGTACCATTTAAGCTCATTAACTGGCCATGATCCAGAGACTCAAATCTTGGAAAAGATCAACAAGCTGCATGATGCTTCTGAACCCCAGTTACCATCCAGTTAAAAATTTAACTCCGGCTATATGATCCCTTTAAAATTTTAGAATTCCTATTGCAACATCTTATACTCTACACCACTGATATACCAAGAGTAGCACACCACATTAAATGGGATGTAAAGTTGAAGGGAACTGGTCTCAATTAAGAAAAGATTAGCCGCATAAGGCTCAACCTATAATATGTTAGTAATCATAGAAGGGTTTAATGGTTCTAGGGTGAGATACAATAATCTTCACACACTTCTAAGGATATCTTTTTTGATCAGTTTTAGCAAATTATAACAAGCAATACAAAATAAATTAAGTCTGCTATTGAAGCAGGTTTCTGTGGTAGCTGGGAAAATTGGAAATAGTGGTGGTGGTGGTGGTGGTGGTGGTGGTGGTGGTGGTGGTGGTGGGAAGGTGTAATGGTGATGGGATTGGTGTTGGAATATTGAATGTAATCGTCAACAACTTGATAAAAACAAAATTTTAAATTTTTTAAAAAGAACAGGTCAGATGGAACTGAGGACAAAGCCTTAGGACAGTGTTCGATGAATGACATGAAATTTGAGAAGATGACATAGAGGAAGTCAGTTGAGAGTTATTAGCAGAAGGTCCAAGGCAAACTTAAGGGAATGACCAGTTAGACAAATCCTGGCAAGGAAGTGGACAGTCAACCAGAGAACTATTGATAAAAATAAGTGCAAATTATAAAGCTTTTAAGTGTTGACCAAAGTGTGTGTGAAATATTTTAATAGCTATTTTCTGGTAATATTCACATAAACTAGTATTTTGTTTTGAGAACCCCTGGGGTTCTCAGGGCTTAATCCTGGCTCTGTGTTCAGGAATCACTCCTGGCAGGACCTGGGTGCCAGGGATTGAAGTCGGGTCAGCTGTATGCAAGGCAAGTACCCTACCTGCAGGACTATCTTGCTGGTTGATAAGGGAGTTTTTCTGTGGATCTATCAACTTTTGGCACAACATAGAAGCCGTTTTCATATATTTTGATCTAGAGTCGAATCAGGGCTTAATTTTTCTACAAAGAGGATAGCCACAATACAGCCCTCACTTGAAGCCATTCTTAGAATGTAATGAGTATAATTCAGATGATCGTTTATCTGTTTGTCTATTCAGCAAGCACATGAGCATGTACTGTATATGGTTCTATTTGCTGGAGATACAGCACTGAGTCGGACATATCCTGTAGTAAAGTTTATATTCTACTCTGAATGACAATGAAAAGAGAATGGAAGCATGTAATGTAAACGTGTGATGCAAGGTAAGTACTATGATGAAGAAAGTAGCAGAGTGAGAATAGAAGGAAGTGATATAAAGTCGAGAAATATGTCAGCCATCAACGTACATAGTTTAAAGATGTGGGAGAGAGGCTGGAGCGATAATACAGGGGGTAGGGCATTTGCCTTGCACTCTGGGTTCGATTCCCAGCATCCCATGTGGTCCCCCGAGCACCACCAGTAGTAATTTCTGAGTGCAGAACCAGGAGTAACCCCTGTGCATCACCGGGTGTGACCCAAAAAGCAAAAATTTTAAAAAAAAATGTGGGAGAGAAGAGATAGTACAGCATGTAAGGCATTTGGTTTGCAAGCAGCCAATCCAGATTTAATCCCCGGTATTGCTCAGAGCCAAGAGTAAACTCTGAACACTATGGGATAAGAAACGCCCCCACAAAAAAATTTTAAGGTAAAAACCAAAAAAAATGGCACAGATATAATTGTTCACTACCTTTGTTACCCAATAAAGATGAAAATTGGCATGAAAATTCACTTTATTTCTATATATTAAATTACTGTTACCTTTCTTTGTCCTCTCCTTCCCACTTTTCCCCAGCTTTAGTTCTACAATGCAGGGATGGTGA